ATCATGTCGCTAGAGACTAGTTTATGAATCATGTAATCATTTGAAACTTGAGATGGTACATTTTTGTTGCATGTCATAACTTTTTATGTTTTGAGTGTATAAGTCATGCTGTTACTTGAAACAAGAGATAGTAAATGTTTATGACCGGACACACTTTGTGTTTTGGTAGTTTATTATAAGTCAAGTAACTAGAGATGTAGTTTATAGGCATGTAATCACTTGAAACTAGAGATAGAAAACTCCTGGTTATAACCAATGAGAGAAAGTAAAATTATCTTTAGTAGTAGTGCCATCAAAATAACATATTTTCGTAAGATGTAATGTAGTTATTTTTATAATGTAACTATTTTTGATAAGAAAGTTTTTATAGTTTAATACAGTTTATTTTTCTTAAAAAAATATATTGTTAGTTCAAGAGAAATTATGCTTGGTGTTGAAAACACCAAAAACAAAAGAAGGGAGGAGTGTAACAAAATATTTTTTTTGAAAAATTATTATAGTTTTCCATTTGGATAGTCTCAAGATTATGGCCATTAAATACAACAACTTCACTTGTTCCCTTATTTTACCTGGTCCTTTGGTGATAATTATATTTATTTGTGGCCCATTGCAATATTTAATTAGGCGGCTAGCGTTCATTATTTTTAGTGAGGTAGTTTCGTTTTCTGTCTCATTATTTCAATGTAGTATTTTTCGTTTCATTAGTAGTGCTCATTTAGAGTTACTTCACTAAGCCACAACTTCGAATATTCAAGCTCCGTACTTATCGCAAAAATACAGGTTAGTTAGTCCATTTGAATTATTAATTTAGATTTATTTAGATAGATAACAATATTAGCGATCATTTCTGTAAATTAGGGGTAGCAATAATGTTTAGTTTTCAAGATATTTGGTCGTGAATTTGAAATGTCAATTCAATCTCGTCTGCCATTTCGGCGGTCATTTTATTTCCTGTTCCATTAAATAACTTGCTCTAGCCACCTATTGTGAATGTATTTCCACACTTTATCATTATATTTCTTATCTGTATAATTAACTCGCAATTACCAACCATATTTGTGAGTTATTTTCACGTCTGTAGGCCCGTAATCGTAATTTAAACATTTGGTTAATCAGTTTGCGCCAATATTTTGTATTGCGCGAGTACGTCATCCGGGCAACCTCCTAGAGTATATAAGCTGAGAAAGTTGACACTCGAGAGAGACTTGATTTAGCTTTTGACTGGTACAGAGCTCCGCTCGTGATATTTTGTAAATTTTGACAACTTTGACTTTGTTGGACTTTGACATTTTCTGTACATGATAACTTGGACTTAGAATATTTTAATCAATTTTTAATATTCTTTGACTTTGTTCTGTTCACATGTACCTGGCTGTAGACGAATCTACTTGAGGTTAAACTTTGGCAAAGTCAATTTAGTTGGACTTGTACATTTTTCTGTAGATGATAACTTGGACTTAGAATATTTTAATCATTTTCAATATTCTTTGACTTTGTTCTGTGATACATCTACCTGAAGTTGGACTTGTACATTTTGCTGTGGATGCTAACTTGGACTTAGAATATTTTAATCATTTTCAATATTCTTTGACTTTGTTCTGTGATACATCTACCTGAAGTTGGACTTGTATATTTTGCTGTGGATGCTAACTTGGACTTAGAATATTTTAATCATTTTCAATATTCTTTGACTTTGTTCTGTGATACATCTACCTGGAGTTGGACTTGTATATTTTGCTGTAGATGATAACTTGGACTTAGAATATTTTAATCATTTTTAATATTCTTTGACTTTGTTCTGTGATACATCTACCTGAAGTTGGACTTGTATATTTTGCTGTGGATGCTAACTTGGACTTAGAATATTTTAATCATTTTTAATATTCTTTGACTTTGTTCTGTGATACATCTACCTGAAGTTGGACTTGTATATTTTGCTGTGGATGCTAACTTGGACTTAGAACATTTCTTACTGGCACTTCGAAATATTCTTTGACTTTGTTCTGTGGTACATCTACCTGGAGTTGGACTTATACATTTTAGTCGTTTATACTAACTTGGACTTAGAATATTTCTTACTCACACTTTGAAATATTCTTCGACTTTGTTCTATTTGAAGTTTGACTTAGATAATTTATTGTGAAACTTCCTCACTGAAGACGTTCCAGTTGACTTTGTCGAACGGACTCACTGAGGCTGGGTCTTTATTTCAGCGACTGTCGAACGGACTTCCTGAGGAAGGTGATCCATTGGACTTAGCTGGAGGAGCCTATCTGAGGGAGAAGAGGATCCACTGGACTTAGCTGAAGAGGCTACCTGAGGGAGAAGAGGATCCATTGGACTTAGCCGGAGGAGGCTACCTGAGGGAGAAGAGGATCCATTGGACTTCACCGGAAGAGGCTACCTGAGGGAGACGTTCCAGTTGACTTTGTCGAACGGACTCACTGAGGCTGGGTCTTTATTTTAGCGACTGTCGAACGGACTTCCTGAGGAAGGTGATCCATTGGACTTACCCAGAGGAGGCTACCTGAGGGAGAAGAGGATCCACTGGACTTAGCTGAAGAGGCTACCTGAGGGAGAAGACGTTCCAGTTGACTTTGTCGAACGGACTCACTGAGGCTGGGTCTTTATTTTAGCGACTTTGTCGAACGGACTTCCTGAGGAAGGTGATCCATTTGACTTACCCAGAGGAGGCTACCTGAGGGAGAAGAGGATCCACTGGACTTAGCTGAAGAGGCTACCTGAGGGAGAAGAGGATCCACTGGACTTAGCTGAAGAGGCTACCTGAGGGAGAAGAGGATCCATTGGACTTAGCTGAAGAGGCTACCTGAGGGAGAAGACGTTCCAGTTGACTTTGTCGAACGGACTCACTGAGGCTGGGTCTTTATTTTAGCGACTTTGTCGAACGGACTTCCTGAGGAAGGTGATCCATTGGACTTACCCAGAGGAGGCTACCTGAGGGAGAAGAGGATCCACTGGACTTAGCTGAAGAGGATCCATTGGACTTAGCCAGAGGCTACCTGAGGGAGAAGAGGATCCATTGGACTTAGCCAGAGGCTACCTGAGGGAGAAGAGGATCCATTGGACTTAGCTGAAGAGGCTACCTGAGGGAGAAGACGTTCCAGTTGACTTTGTCGAACGGACTCACTGAGGCTGGGTCTTTATTTTAGCGACTTTGTCGAACGGACTTCCTGAGGAAGGTGATCCATTTGACTTACCCAGAGGAGGCTACCTGAGGGAGAAGAGGATCCACTGGACTTAGCTGAAGAGGCTACCTGAGGGAGAAGAGGATCCACTGGACTTAGCTGAAGAGGCTACCTGAGGGAGAAGAGGATCCATTGGACTTAGCTGAAGAGGCTACCTGAGGGAGAAGACGTTCCAGTTGACTTTGTCGAACGGACTCACTGAGGCTGGGTCTTTATTTTAGCGACTTTGTCGAACGGACTTCCTGAGGAAGGTGATCCATTGGACTTACCCAGAGGAGGCTACCTGAGGGAGAAGAGGATCCACTGGACTTAGCTGAAGAGGCTACCTGAGGGAGAAGAGGATCCATTGGACTTAGCCAGAGGCTACCTGAGGGAGAAGAGGATCCATTGGACTTAGCCAGAGGCTACCTGAGGGAGAAGAGGATCCATTGGACTTAGCTGAAGAGGCTACCTGAGGGAGAAGACGTTCCAGTTGACTTTGTCGAACGGACTCACTGAGGCTGGGTCTTTATTTTAGCGACTTTGTCGAACGGACTTCCTGAGGAAGGTGATCCATTGGACTTACCCAGAGGAGGCTACCTGAGGGAGAAGAGGATCCACTGGACTTAGCTGAAGAGGCTACCTGAGGGAGAAGAGGATCCACTGGACTTAGCTGAAGAGGCTACCTGAGGGAGAAGAGGATCCATTGGACTTAGCTGAAGAGGCTACCTGAGGGAGAAGACGTTCCAGTTGACTTTGTCGAACGGACTCACTGAGGCTGGGTCTTTATTTTAGCGACTTTGTCGAACGGACTTCCTGAGGAAGGTGATCCATTGGACTTAGCCGGAGGAGGCTACCTGAGGGAGAAGAGGATCTTTTGGACTTAGCCGGAGCAGGCTACCTGAGGGAGAAGAGGATCCACTAGACTTAGCCGGAGGAGGCTACTTGAGGGAGAAGACGATTCACTAGACTTAGCACGAGGAGGCTACCTGCACGAGACAAGATACTGGTCCTTGTATGGAACTGGATGTTCTTTTCATCGCTTTGATTGTGGGCAGCATATCGTTTGTACTCCTTTGTTTGATGTTTGTAATTTGCACTCGTGTTTGCATTACCACTACAGACGAAGAATCTAATGATAAGTCTGCTCCAATACCAACTAGACAGATTCCAGTGTTGCAGTCATCGCTTGGCTTCAGCCTGAGTACAGTGAACTTTGTGTGACTTCAATCCAATCCCACAATTGATGCTTATATGTTTGGACTTACAGTGAATAATAACAACAACAACGAACATTGGTTCTATTCCAGTTTATTATAAGGACATTTTGCTATTTGATGTACACAATTTTGGGCCTACAGACGCCACAATATATCGTTTGTTGTGTAATAAATATAATTAAAAGTTCTGTTGAATCTTTGGTGCAAACACATTTAACGTGTGTCACGTAACCCACAAGGTATACAGAGGCCTATTAGTCCACACTACCAAAATATCCACAAAAAGGCCTAACTGTTACAATATTCTTAGTTTTTGTGATTTCCCCACGTTCACAGAACGACCGAAGGGAGTGAGGGGTTCGAAAGCTTGTGTGCCTAGCCCCAAGGGGTGTATTCGACGATATTACCCCTGCTCTGAGGTCTATATTACGATTCGAATATGAAAACTCACCAAATTGTTTCGAATATTCATCATGGTCCGCCATTACTACCACCCACCGTTATGACGTCACACGTTACACGTATTAACAGGGGTATTGATCGCGAATATATCACAGGTGAAATGTTGACTTTGTTTACAGTTTAAAGAATGCGTGAATACAGTCATGTTCGAATTAAGTACTTAACATAACAGAGTATGACATGGTGGAGCGACCAGGTACTATGGGGCAAGGTTTCCTCGTCTCAGCTGGTTTAGTTAAAATATTAGTCTCAAAATTTCTTAGTTTGTCAATTAAATGAAATACAATATCAGATGGGGGAGCTGCCGGATATGTTGAAATTTGATTCTAAACTAAGCTCTTCTTTTCATTTGGCGCACTTCGACACGCGGTGTCTCAAATTACCAAAGCAGATGAGATGAGGAAACATGGCTAACAACAAATATGTAAAAGTAAAAGTTTTCAAATTGAAATATTGTATTTCGAAGGTGGAGACAAGGGCGTTACAATACCCGGTTCATGCAGTGCACGTCTAAAACAAAATGAAAATACCCTCTGAAATCACCGGGTATTGATTTTCCCTTGGTCATTAATGGAAGTTTTATTTGTATCGAGAGATCATGCGCCTCAGATGAAAAGCGCCAGACACGTGGAGTTACATGTAGTTTATACTCGAAATTCAACATATTGATGGTCATGGAACCAAGGAAATAAAATAATTGGAATATTCGACGCTTATAGTTCGTCAAAATAAAACAATAGAATATAAAAAACTCAAAAATCAAAATTTCGATCTTATTTTACTTTATCAAAATGTGCAATACCAAAAATCAATAAATCGATGATGCAAGCATGAATTACATATTTTTCAAATATAAAATTGTGCAATTTGTATAATTTGTTACGGTTCACAAGCACTTATCACAATTCAATTACCAGAGTGTTAGACATGTAAGCGCTCTATAGTGACGTTTCATTGCCAGTTTAAGTAAGACTGAAGTCTTGGTGGAATAGGCAGATCTTGAATTCTCTCCAACTGAACACGTTGCAATATTGGTTTCCTACACAATGCTTGTAGAGTATGCAGTCTCTCAGGTAGCTTGTACACTTGTACGTTATAAGATAAATCTTGCATGAATTCATCAACCAGCCCACCATCATCATCATTGTCAATATCATCAGCATCATCTGGTTTTGGAGACATTTCAGCTGCTGGTTCTTCCAACTTTTTATCCTTAGAAACTGATTTGAGCGTTTCCGCCTTTCTTCGCCAGTCTGTAGTAGAATCTTTACGTTTCTTTAAGTGTCTTTGGTGACTTTCTTTAGTAACGAACGCCATTCGAGTGCCACATTTAGACATGAGTGGAAATAACTGACAAAGCTTCGATCGTATCGACTTGTAGGTTAGGGCGAATAGTGGGGTAAGATCATCTGAGTCGAAGATCCATAACTCTTCTCGCTTTCGAGTTAATGCGAGAAGAAACTCTCCATCTTTGGTGTGCTGGAGTAAGTCACAACTGCAAGGACAACATAAGTAAAATATTGTGGTTAACCTGAACGGGTAATCTGGCCTCTTTAATAAACCTCTCACGTTCTTCACATCTGCTTTATCAATGGACTATGCGTATCTTAACTGTTTTACAATCACAAATAGAGTACCAAGTACCAAGAGAAAACTTACCAAAATTCAAAATCTTTGTATTGGGAATTTACGGTCTTATCCACCACATCGTACTGGGCCAGGGTACCCCTAGAGAGACGAGTTTGTCCGCTTCCAACTATGAACGTCAGAATATGTGGTCTGTGTGGCCGCGGGTCAAATACTGCCCTAAATGGAACCCCATACGTTCGCTTGTCAAACTTGATTGTCTGAAATTAGTTATTAAAAGATGAAAAACGATTATCCTGCTTCTAAAAAATAAAAGCAAACTAGCCTAATACATGTATTTCAAAGTCGTTTTTAACTGATTTTTACTAAATCCGATTTCTCTGAAATGTCCTAAATTAAAAAAGCAGATATAATTAATTGATTAGAATTTTTCAGAAAGAACACTTTTTGTTTAAAAATATAAACCGTCGCATTACATTTCATTTTTCACACACCTCAACGAATGTCTTAGCGGCCAGTTCAATTAGCTTGCAAGTGCTGGGATTCTGTCCGGGAGAGGGTCCAACGACGAGACAGTATTCCCTGTCGGCGCTGAAGCTACATGAAAAGTCCGACCACCCAGCAATACAGTTTGGTCCTGTCATCCCTCGGCGTCCGTGCCTCCAGACACCGACAGTAGTGACGTCTCCAGTTGTACTATCAAACATCTTAATTTCAGCATCGCTTCTGCTTTTGTAATATGTATAGCCAATGTATATGTTCCCACAGTGGCCTTCAAATAACAAAGTAATGAACGGTGATAATTCATAGCTGGACACACTGCATAGCACGAACACGAACACTTATATAAACTAACAATAAAATTGATTTTATTTTTATAAATCACTAATGTTTAAAATCGTGTAAAAGAAAAAGTGCGTCATGCAGAATGTTGCGGCTAAATTAGCATTGATGTGATCATGCATGGTATGTGGTATACAAGTGCATTAGATATATTTACAATTTAGACATATATATATTACAATCGAAAAAATTAAGATTTTCTTTTACAGTTAAACGAACAACGGCTTTCCATGATATAATTATGACTACCTATAATGTTGACGTCAGCAGGCTGCATTGAGTTACGGTATTCAAAGCTAACACAGCTTGCCCCGGCATCAGTTTGCGTCTCATCAACTCCAAGCTCCTGGATATAGACCCGAACTCCTCTAACCTGAATATGATATAGCTTGCTCCCTAGGACATAGATCTGAGAAGGTTTAAAGTCTCTATCACTTCTGAACAGCTCCAAAATTGTAGCTTTATCCCGCTCGTCAAATCCCATAGACACTGAAATAATCGCTTTGGTGAAAACAAAAGTCAACACTTTTTCACTTCCAATCATTTTTTGACATTGACCTTGCGTGACCTCATATAATCAATGATGTAGACACCCATCAATAATTTCAAAGAAGTGATGGATGCATCTGGCCTATTCAATACGACTTTGACCTCAATGATGTGCTTTCAATGCGTTGCGTTTTAACTCCAAAATCTTCATGGGCTTAGTGCATGGACTAGATAAATAGATCCACTAAATAAAGTAAATACTTAAAAGTTTTAAAGGATTCTTAAGAGAAAATTTCATAATACATTTGAATACACGATGCACAATCAAACCTCACTAGAATGATTAACTCCCTTGTATTTTCTTAATGGTTGTGATTTTTGAAAATAGATGGCTAAGGTGAGATATTGAAGCTGATCATTGCTTTGCAAATGAATCTGATATGACCTTAAACTAATTATTATTGACCTACCCATATCATTCATCCAGAGTCTAATGTTTCCCCGGAACAGAGTTTCAAGAGTTTTGTCAAACTTTGGTCTTTGAGGCAACTGTTGCTGTTGTTGCTGTATTTGATGCTGTAGTTGCATTTGTTGCTGCCACCATTGAGGATTTTGTGGTGCAGCAGCTGCAGCATTTTGGTTCTGTTGGTTGTACTGTTGTTGGTTGTGCTGCTGGTTGTGCTGTTGATTGTGTTGCTGGTTGTGCTGGTTATTTTGCTGTTGGTTTGGCTGTTGATTTTGCTGCTGCAATGCACCATGGACTGGAGGTATAGCATTCTGAATGACGACATGTGCCGGGAGAACTTCATGTATCACCATCTTTATTGTCTAACTACAATGTATATTAATCACTTTGAGTTGTTGATTGTCGGTATTCAATTTATCAGCTCTTCAGCTCCTGTGGTTTCGAATGTAACCCGTTGAACGTCGTAAAATGTAATGTTGTACATAATCCAGCCTCCTTGAACTGTTACAGTAAGTCTGTGTTGTCAGCTTCTGCCGCTTGATCAACGCATACCAAATCTACAGGCACAAGCAAATCTTACTCGATGCTTTCTTTCTCAGACCCTGATCTGATTGACTATATATGGTCAAAACGGTGAAATCATTCCTAAACCTGTACGAATTGCATCCAAAGTGCATTGGGTGAGGTGAATATAATGTTATCATTAATATAACCATATATGGTATTGCAGGCGAGCCTCTCGTCCAATCAATAGCAGTATTTATGATTCATTGGCTCAACAATGACCTACTTTCACTTTCGAAAACAATCGTTATACAACTCCTATGTACAGACTATAGACGATCAGATCATTATCCTTACTACATTCTATTTTTGTTAACCGGATTTTCATGACTGCATGATGCAAGCTGTTGTTATTTACTGTGTAGCAGACTTCTCTCTTCACTTTTAACTGCTTCCTTGTTATTGTTATTGTTTACCTCTATCACGTGGCCTTGACAAGTGCTTGGTGCTAAATGTCAAACTTGTAACCACAGTACAAAGAAATCGTTAAAGATGATTAATGTTAATAATATACAATATTTGTAAATATTATCTAAGAATGATATTTATCAACTCTTTTAATGTATTTTACTTTATTTGGTTGAACTTCAATATTCAACTGTAAAATCAACACCATTTCGTTTTTTGATCTCGTTCAAGTAGTTTGACATCTAGCTTTTCAAAATGGTGATCAGGGATGTAAACAATCGATAAAGATTACTTTTATTTCTATGTAATGCCATTGTTAGTTAATAAAAGATATATTTAGTGATATCATTAGGAACAACATATACGTTTCTCGTGCATTACATATATAGAAAGGAGAAATAGACCATCAAACGCTTCATAAATGGCGACTAGAAGTCAAATTTGTCTTTTTTCTCACCCGGAAATGGAGGTTGTTGCTGAGAAGATTGCTCGAACATGCTCAGCTGACGGTAAACATGAGTTTGTCTCCCAGGAGAGTGAAATGCTTACGCGGGTAAGACTTTGTTATGTTCATGTGTTAATTCTTTCGTTGACTGTACAGTGCAATTGAGATGATGACAACTCTCCTATGTGATTCACTTTCGTTTTGTTTTTCCAATGCATCAATGTAATGGTGTAATCCCGGGGTGTAATCGGGGGTATAATACTATTCAGTAATACCAATGCCTTCTAGAGGGCACATAGACTTGTACAGATATTAGCATTCTTCCAATTACTTTAGTGAAAAATATTGAGTTTTGACTATCAGAACAGAAAGTCAATTTACATGTACAGTACACAGTTCCTGTGCTTGGGGCAATGAGGGTCCCTCTTGGGTAAAATATTTTACATGAACAGGTATGTACAACATAAGGTTACATGTATATGTACAATATTTACATGCACATGCATGTATGGAGTATATCACAAACACATTTCAACAACTCATACATTTCTGTGCATGTACATGTACAATGTATGTATTGTACATGGACAACATGACATTTTGTACATATTGTATATTTGTTGACACATTTTACATTTTGTTCCAGCATTTGTCCAGATCTTCTTCATTCAAAGGAGCACTAGAGCCACGGTCTGTCTGTTTCAAGAAATCAATCAACTGGGGAAAATTTAATGATGGCTTTCCAAATCTTTTCATAAATGATGTCAAAGAAATTGCAGGAAAGGATGGTGAGATAGAATATTTATTACTAAGCATAAAAGATTTAGGCCTTACCTTTTTATTATCATCAAAATAACAACATGCAAAATGCATGTACAATTGTACATGTATAAAGGCATCTTATAATAATTTTATAAGACGTAACATATTACTGTACTTTTTATTTCATCCTAGCTATTCAAAATTAATGATCTTGATTTCTATTACCAAATCTGAGAATTGGTCACATACAAACATTTTTTTCTTTTTCGATGTTGAATTTATTGAATTAAGAATTCTTATTTTAAAAAGTTGATTTTATTTCAGTTATTTTCCTTGCAAGCTTTCATTCCCCTCAAGTTATCTTTGAGCAACTGGGAATCATGTATGCTATTCCAAGGTAAGATACTATTTGTCATACATTTTATTTAAATCTTATTACTGTATTAAAGTTGTTCATAATCTTACTGATTAGGTTAGGGTTACAATAATGATAGGGTCATGGCAATTAAAGAGAAGACCAAACATATTTTACTTTTAAACAATATTTAACTTTGTTAAAAATAAACTTACATATGCTTATATATGAGCTATGGGTAAAAGAGATTTGTTATAATTTATCATACATTTTGCCTCCCACAGATATTTGGCACGTTCCTTCACTGTGATTCTGCCCTACTTTCCCACTGGAACCATGGAGAGAGTAGACAAAGAGGGACAGATTGCTACTGCAAAGGTAAAGAAATGAACCCCATTCAGAGTGAACCAAACTTAACGGAATAAGTAATACCAAATGTTACACTCATTGAAAATTTTTATGTGTCCTATTTGTACTTCTACATGCCAATGTTCTCTCTAAAAGCTTTAAATAATTGTTTATTTTCAAATAATTTTTGTCTTCCAGACTTTAGCTGCCATGTTGTCGCACATTCCTATGACATCACGAGGACCAGCTCAGTTAGTCATATTTGACATACACGCTCTACAGGAGAGGTTTTATTTCTCTGAAAATGTCATACCTAGGTAGGAAAGATGTTAAAGTATTAGCGAATGAGCACACTTGTTTTCAGTTATTTTCGTGGGTTAATGTTAAACAATTAAAGTGAGTTGGGGTGGGGGAGCAAAATTGCATGTAGATTTTATTTTTAAGAATTAAGTGTCACAGTTATGTATACAATCATGTTGAAGTATTTTATTAAAACAATTTTGTTCATGTGTTTATACTGGAAACTGACATTTCATTGTTGCTAAAGTTAAAGTATTTAAAATTGAAATTAAAGCATAAAGTACATATAAATATTTCAAATTGAAATTAAAACATTTTATCGAAACAGTTTCTCTCATATCATGTTTTTATTTTAGAATCTGATCTTCCATCTTGGTTGAATATAATGACAGTGCTATGGAAACATTCTTTAAATTGAAATCCAACCAATTTTGTGCTCATGTGTTTAGATTAGAATCTGCCATTCCATTGTTGCTACGTGAGATGAGAAACCTTGGAGACAAGAATAACCTAGCGATAGCATTCCCTGATGATGGTGCACATAAGAGATTTAACTCTTTCTTTCCTGGAGCTAGATTCATCATATGTAGCAAGATCAGAGATGGAGATCAAAGGGTCGTCAAAATAAATGAAGGTAATTAGGCTAGAGTACCGTATTCTCTCTAATTAGTGCACAGTTCTGATGAGTGAACATGCAACATTTTTATATGATAAATATGGTCTCAAGAAAATTCAATGTTGACTTTCTAGCAAAGAATGTTTTGCTCCTTTTTCAACAGCACTTTGAGCTTTTTGATATCTTCTTGTGAACCTTTGAAAATATATCGCAGTTGAATCTCCAGACCCACTCCTTTATTAAAACGGAAATATCATATTGGTCCTTTGTATAAAACCCATATTCAAATATATATCGCAGTGGAATCTCCAGACCCACTCCTTTATTAAAATGGAAATATCATATTGGTCCTTGGGATAAAACCCATATTCAATCCATCACAGTATATCCTATATCCGATATGTGCTATATTTGACACAAATTATTCTCTGTTTTATATTGTAGTGTACAAACACGTGCACTATCATGTTTTTTTCATATCGAAACTTTGAAAAAACATCAAATGGTCTCAATCATAGGTCTTTCTAGCATGAATAAAAATATATTTGAATTGGATTTTGGAATGCCATAAAGCTATGTGGTCAATAGAAATATTAACATTTATTGAGAATACATTTAAATTTTTTATTATTTATTTATATTTCTTCAAATCCTGAGTCTTGCTTATGCAATCCGAACACCTCTTAATCGGAACACTTTTAGCCAGTCGCAATGGTGTTCGGATTAGACAGGTTTTACTGTATTATTATTTATTTTGGATGTATGCACTGTAAAACCTTTAAAGTAAAACAACTCCTTAATATTTCTTCATCACAGTACCATTTTTATTCCTCACATTTGGCTAGCATGTTAAATCAAACACTAAGATGAACAACTCGATAATATTCAAAAAACCAGACAATCATATAAAACAACATAATTGATTATTTGGCTGGATTATTGATTTTCAATTAACCTTAGATATAACATTAAGAGACCTTGATTGGCAGAAATGATTTAATGTGACATTTGGTTATGAAGGTGTTGAATTAAGGTTTCCTATAGTTTAACAAAGATATCACTTCCCTCTCTAGGAGACCCAATGGGACTGCATGTGATAATAGTAGATGATCTCATTCAAACTGGAGGGACTCTAAAAGAATGTGGAAGGGTGAGATTTTTACAGAAATATTGTATTTTTTGTTTAACATTGTGAAAGATTAATCAAAAATGATTATGTTCATGCTACTCCATCAATTGCTTTGTGAGAATTTTTTTTTAAAAAAGGAAAATATTAGAATAGTGTTTAGTGAGATTAGATTGTTTGATTTGAATGTTTATAATGTTTTCACTTCAGGCTCTGTTAAAGGCTGGAGCAGATAAAATCAGTGCCTATGTAACACATGCTGTGTTTCCCAAAGACTCTTGGAAATCATTTACAGGGGACAGTGTCAAGTTTGAAAACTTTTGGATCACTGACAGTGTACCACATTCAACACAAATTGCACAACATTCCCCGTTTAAACTTCTTTCGCTTAGTGATGTGATAGCAGACACGCTGTTAGGTTATGACTTGCTTCAATGACATGGAAATGAATCTCGTAACATATTCATTACATACAGTAGACTAGCATTATGTTAACCATGGGCTTTTAACTAGATGAAAGCCCATGCTAGAATCTTAAGGAAACTAGCATTTTATTAATCTTTGGCCTTTTAAGATTAACATCATGTTAACTAGCATTTTGTAAACCTTTGGTCACAAAGCCAGAAAATCGATTTGAATCCAAATATTTTCATCTCAGATATTGGACTCAACTATATTGTGATTCATATTTATTATTGTTAACCATTGAGATCTTTTGTGCCATAAACTTCACATAAAATGTACAAGAAATTACGCATATTTCGTATTTTAATATAATTTTATGAACTGAAATAAATTTGTATTGTTATAGTTGAACTAAATATCTACATAACATGTATATTTGTCTATTCAATTACTGAAAAGGTAATAATTTAGTATTTTTATCAATATGTACACTTACTGTACCAACTATTATCATACAAAAAAATCCCCCAGATATGGTATAATGGTACCTTGTAATAACTGTCTCCTTTATCACCTATCTGAGCAAGAAAATATCCACCACAACTCCATAATTGTATTTTCATTTAGAAATTATCATTTATTATGCCAGAGTCTCAAACTGCCGAGTTTCTTTAATTCATGACATGACATATGATTTCTGAAAGATCATTGCAATGCTGTCATCTTCTCTGTAGGTGACTTTTGTTACCTTGACACTGTAAACACATGCAATATTAAACATTAAACGTGGGGTAAACATACACACTGGTAATCAGGATATGGTGTGAACATTTCTGGAGTTGGTATGGAAAATAATTTTACTTCTAACCAATGTGAGATGGAGTGAAAATTAAATTTAATCCCTTTGAAACAAACCAGAATCTATGAACCAGGTCATATCGTTTGTTTAAACCCATCACATTCTTTTAGCTTCTTGTTCAGCTGCATTTTGTGAGTATAGAGGTTGATGAGGAAGTGCCTTAACACCTTTTGAGTGATATTTTGGGACAACATTCTATGCCATCACAAAGTGCTTTCAGGTGTTCTCATACCCCCATTCTAAAAAACCTCCCTAGATAGGTAAGTTCATCATTTTTTCCATTTAGGTGTTCAGGTGTTCAACAGTTCTCCTTTTTTACTTTTCCAACTCTTTATTTAAATATTTGACTTTGATATCATATGTTATCACATGGTTTCAAGGATATAGATCGAATATCACGTGAAGATATATTTGATATGTGCATCAAGATATCATATTTTAGCAAAAGATTCCCAAACCATCGAATATAACTTTCAAACAATCGAATATCACTACTTAAAAATTGATATTCGATGTTTTCAAAAGAGATATTCGATAGTTTCAAAAGTGATATTCGATGGTATATTCGATTGTTTTTAAAAAGAATTTTCATATTTTTGCAAAATTGAATTCTTTTCAAACTCCTTTTCAATTTTCAAAAAATTGTTGTGAATTTTTTCAACTTTTTTTCCCAGATGATGATTTCCCATGGGATAAACGGACAATCCTATGATTTTTCAAAAATATCAATTATATCCACTCATGGATATCAATATCTTCACTTATTCGCTGCGATCACTCGTGAAGATATCGATATCCAGTCAGATATAAATGATATTTTTCCAAAACCATAGGATATTCCTATATTATGCATTGCTCTTGACTGATGATTCTGCTGTCTTAATGTAGGCTGATGTGTTATCTTTAAAATAACATCCAGTGATATACCTGAAACTATGGAGATCCGTATGATGGACGATTTTTTTTATTTTCATCATGGGATAAACCCGATATCAAGTTGTGATATGATTTTATTGCCTCGTGTTCATTTTGATATCAACTCGTCGATGAAAACGACATCACTCAAATTGATATGATATTTATCAATATATCATAACATATACTATAAATTCAGTAAAGCATGTTTGATTACCACATTGCTGTTCCGTTTACTATATACATCACGTTTTTCTTGTATGATAAGTAAATTGTAGCTTTGTAATTCTCAAGTTAAAGTGTATTAGAAAACTAAAGTCCATGTCGTTGCATTAGAAATGAGCATTTTGGTTATATTTTGCAATAATTTTTTTATTCACAAAACAACAATATGTTGCAAATGAATGCCTCTGTCCCAAATGAATTTAAGATTCAATAATTTTTTCTCCAGTTGATTTTTTTAAACTAGAAAACAAAATTCCAAGAGACTTAAACATGGTGTAAACAAAAATATGAAAATCAGGGAGTAAGTAAGTATGTTTAATTGTACTTCATATGCATAAAGGTATGGGTGGGTTACGTACTACAATGGACCATCTCGAAGGTACAACTAAAGTTTTTCATAAGTACTCAACGAGAAAGGTTTAATCACTATCACTACTTGGGTCTGTTTCGAGATTGATGATTACAGGGTCCATTTCCTCATTTCTCTTACCCATCTCTAATGCCTTGGTCACATAGGCTCCGATTTTCACTACGGCGCCCGGCCGATGAGTATTTTGTTCAAAATCGGGCGGCGAGCCCGGGCATCGTACGGGCGCCGGGCGATGATCGCCACTCATCGGCCGATTTTTAGACATCGTACGGGCGCCGGCAGAGTTTTATGGCCTAGTCACATAGCCCGGCCGATGTCCGGCATCGGTAGAGCTCGGTGGATTTTTTTGGTGCCACCGAGCTCTCCTCATCGGAAGCAGAGCTCGGTGACGTGAACGGACTCCGTCCGGACATCTTCAGGTACTATACTTTCCAAGGCTCTGTCCCACATCGGCCGGAGCTCGGTCGGAGCTCGGCCGGTGTCCGTTAAAAAACCTCGTCCTCTGGTTGTCTCAGATGCACGGGACACCGACCGATACTCGGCCGTGCACCGGCCGACATGTGTTCTGATGTGGTTACGATGGGGCTGCGATGAGGGAGCTCGGTGAGAGCCCGGTGAAATTTAACTCCGAAGTTAAAATTTCACCGAGCTGCCACCAATGCGGTTTTAAGCAACAAACGCCACGGATGTCCGGCCGGTGTCCGGCCGGTGTTCGGCCGAGTTCGGTGAAAATTGCATCGCTGGCTCATCGGAACCTCATCGGCCGGGCTATGTGACTAGGCCATTATCGCGGAGATAAAAGTTGCCGATGTCTTGGCGATTTTTTCTCAACCAAACTCATCGGTACCTACACGGCCGTGTCCCGTCCGATCATCGTACGATTATCTTACGGCGCCCGGTGGCATCCCACGGTCATCTTGGGATTTTGCGTGCTGATTTGTTTGATAAATCTTAATAATGATTACTTATAAAGTAATATAAAGGTTTTAAAAATAATGAGGTAGAATTATAAATACTACACACTGTCAGAGATTTTTTATAAAACATAAATGGCACGATTAGGCTTACTGTAAAACAATGACACACATTTGAATGGCTGGGTGGATGGGTTGATCTAGTCTTTCTTATATTGACATTAATGGTGTATGTCTGTCATACACAATGAATAGAGTGATACATTTCTATGCGTATACCATTACAAATCATTTATTCTAAAAATCTTCTGAATGTTTTTGTGAGTACAGTATTTTCGAGGGTCACAATTTTAATACGAAAGTTCACTGTCTCAATTACAGTTAATATGCCAAAGGCTAAGGATAGAGGGGATAAGGCCAATGGGCCATATATCAGGAAGGCCAAAGACAATAACAATGCTAGTGAGCTGGTGGATGATGAAGATTTAGATGTGTCTATGGAAGAGGTCCACTTGGAATAGAAGAAAAAATCGCCAATTTCTTTTAACATATTTTTATGACCAAACAAATTCTCTTTACGAGAACAGTCAAAAGAAAGATGCAGAAATATGGAATTTTGCTAATAGCATCGGATGCATATGAAAGATCTAAAAATGAATTAAGGTCAGGGTTCACTTTGATGAAAAGACCACGTGCAGTATGGCAAGTGATTTTAGACGGTCATATCTTTCATCATGAGTACTTTCTGGGCATAAATACAATGTTTTTATTAAAACAATATGTACTTTGTGTTTTATTTCAATTGAAGAACCCATGATATAGTAAATATATCAATCAAACAATTTGAAAAATTATGAATAGGGACCCCATGTCAGCATTTTTTCTAAATATTGAACCTATTTACTCAAAAGAGGTTCTTTCTGATTCTTATTGCATGGAAACATTATTATCCTGGAAGTCCTGTCTATCGAAGTATTTCGTTTTCAAATCTTGCATTCACGCCATGTGGAACAGGCATACCGGGTCATACAAGAATTTTGTATAAATCTAGAGGCCTGTAGATCGACCGATGTCCTGGCGGGTGCCGTACGGCCATCGGCAGATAGCCTTGCGATACCCGTGCGATGTCTTTCAGATTCAATTGATTGCGGGCGCCGTACGATGCCTGTACTAATGTGACCATACTCACGATTAGATCAAGACATCGGTGAAAAGTCACCGGCGCCCGGTCGATTTAGAAATCGGCCGATGACTACTCATCGGCCGGCGCCCGGCGGCTATGTGACCCAGGCATAAACTGAATACAAGTCGTGGATTTGAAATTACACCTGAGTGTGTACAATAATATTACTGGGTAGAGGATTACATGAATGCATTGCTTATGAAAACCACAGTGGTCAGAGTATACATCGTATGTACGAGTACGAGTTTAAGTTTGTACACTTTCAAACAAAACACTTTCAGATATTAAAAACACATAAAAACACCGTATTTATTCTAATTTCTTTTAGTCTAGTCTAGTCTTTGTATAACTACATACACTTGCATACTCTATGTGGTTTTCTGTTACACTTTAAAAATTTTCTCACATACTAGCATTGCTTAAGGCTCTTAAGGCATACAGAGAAAGGGGCAGACAAGAAACCATGCATTTGTTAAAATGTAGCATTCTCTTTATTTTTTTAATCAGGTTAGTAAAATTTGGTGATTCCTCAAAATGTAAGCGGTGCAAGAGGAAAGCGATGCAAGGGGGAAATTCTACAGAGAGGACATTATCTTTTCTAGCAGATGGAGATCCCCCAGAGTTATTTGTCTCCTCGGGAGTCTTGCATAAGACCTGGAGATTATTCGGATTCAAATCGAGGTCAGAAGTTGTTAAAAAGGGTGGGTATATGAGAATTTGTACCATGTGGATGACACCATCCATGGAATAGTATAAACTTAATTATATTCTTTTTCCAGAAAATAACATTTAAAATACAATATTTTATCGAAACGATGATAATGCTCTCATTATATGGAGCCAATATAATTCTACATATATACATGTACCCACCCTAATAAATTCCATGTTTCCCAGAGACACTGTTCCTCAACTAGTTACTTTGACGGAACGTCAATGTAATGTAACAAAATGGATGAACTTCCTGGACACGAGTTTTTTGTTTTCTCGATTCAAACCTACTTATAAGTCAAATTGCAGATTATAATTTGTCACAAAGCTTGAAAATATAGTCTATTTAATAAGTTTCTTCGATTTGGAATTTGTTTTATAAATGAAGTTGCAATTCATATATTTAGCCCCTCGCTTTCGTTACATTGACGAAAGTCCGTTATATTACCAGTGTATGTTGCTTTGACGACTTACGTCAATGTAACAAAGGCGATGGTCTACTGTAAATGCATGGATTACAGCTTTATCTAATAATCAAGTTCCAAACGGACAGCATTTCTAAAAGCTAGACTATATTGTCTAACTTTGTGCCAAATAATAAACCGCAATATATTTATATATGTACGTTTAAATAGAGAAAACAAAAAACTCGTGTCCAGGAAGTTTATCCATTTTGTTACATTGACGTTCCGTCAAAGTAACTAGTTGTGGAACAGTGAGAGAAGCCTCTTTTAGCCCATCGTCCTTGCCATTACCTAGTCGCCTTGATTCTCTAGCCTGGTGCGACCCCAATACTGACTCTCATGTAGTCATTTTTTGTATTCAAGTTGAGTTACTAAATTTCAGGAAGAGAATTTGTAGAATATCTCAAAGAGTATGGCATTGATGTAAGCAGTTTGACAGATGAGCAGTTGTACTAAGGTCAACCTGTAGATTTGGGAGATTATACCTTCTTAGCGTTCACCATGAAAGTTCAACTTAGGGCAGTAACGGAGACGATGCCACATCGTCGCGTGAAATATTACAAGGACACATATCTTAGAGAAATTGGATTTGTTGCACTAGCCAAAAGACCCATCACATTAAGAGGTAAGGCCATTAACAATGGCGAACATGTGGGGTCCAGGGACCAGCTTCCACCATAATGTGACCACGAAAATAATCGGAGGCCAAAAAGGGCGGAAGTGTTGCCCCCCCCCCCATTTGATTTTAGGACCCCCCCCCCTAACCAAAATACAGCCAACAAAATATTTGCACGATATTCATAACAATGAATGAAATTACCTCTGGCTAATTGCATGTTCAAAATATTTCATTGTTCATTGTAGGAAAATGGAATGGAACAATTCCAATAGATGGAGGCTTTTATACATCTAATTACCTTCTACCCAACAATGAATGTGGCTTCATGGAAGAGCCGGATATTATAGAAGGACGAGCATTGTGGCCATATTACTCTGAGAATGTTTTTTCCTACTTTGGGATGGACGTTTTTTCCGGCAAATATGGACATGGAACACTGAAGGGTGTATATATAGAAATGCCAACATTTGTCGCAGCAGTAACAATACGTTTTACTGGTTAAATAATATGATATATACAGCTTTACGTGGTGAAAAAAATTGTCAATAGCAATATCATTGTAAAAGCTAGCTCCAAAAATATGAATACATATGTTGTAGTTATGCATATGTTTAATTTGTCGTCTATGTATTAAACTATCACTGGTGATCCGCTCCTCGATTACGCTGGTTACCGAAACGGTTCGTGTCGGTAGCAAAATGTCGGAACGTCGAAGGTACGATTTTTCTTTTTTCCTTATTTCACGCGTTGTAGGCAGAATCTCCACGACGTTCTTTCTCACAAACGTATATCAGTATCATATGTTTTATAAAATGTACATGTTTGCAAAAAAGCTCAGAAGACAACAGAATCGTCGATTTAATTCCTCATTTAAGTTACATAAACGGTTTGGGTTAAACGTGCAGATCTTAACTGTTTATCGAAATACCATTTATGTAACGCACTGTTCGTTGAAATTGGGATAAATTTTGAAATAAGTCACAGTACACTGTCACACACCACTAAATGTTCACATTTTGCTCAATGGACCCTGAATGGACAACCCTGGATGTGGACTACTCATTGTTTTGTTTTGGTATTTTGACGCCATAATATAATATCGCCCGTATTGTCCCGTTCGTGCGACGTGTAGTGGGGTAAACAAGAATTGGAACCCCGGGCTTTGCGATAGCGGTAACCTTGGCTCTGCCAATGAGCCTTAGTTGTAAGACTAGAGTTGGTGTTAAAGCTATGGATGTTTGTAACTATTCTTTCCTTTACACAAGGTCAGGAATGTTTTGAAAATGTCGATGACTCTTTTTTTAATCATGCCCATAGACAGGCTTAATATGTGGTCCAACAAGAGAGCTGATGTTTGCTAAAGTTTAGAGGGAAGTGTAACGATGTATTACCTAACATCATGGGCATTGTTGGCATTCAATAGATTGCCCATGTTAACATCCAGCTCCTTCGAGATGCCTCTCTTTTGGCAGGCAGGGGCAGTGACGTCTATAATTGCAGGGGCGTGATTACTACAGACAGTCCTGAGAGCTGTAAACTTAAGACAACATACGTTTATTTTAATATATCACAAGATGAAAGTTGAATTATGATTTAAGTTTGTGAAGCAGAATGGCATTTTGAATTCAAATGCCACTTTGGAAAACAGTTTAAAGATTGACATCCTAAACCTATGTACAAAATATTACTTTCTCTATTGTATTCAATATTTATGAATTAGGCCAATTTTATAAGCAACTAGATGATATCTAACTCGTTTAATATTATATATTTTACTCCTAGTCAATATAAAGAAAAATAGGGTTGCATTTTTTTTAAAACAATCAGTTGCACACTTCGACATTTTTCATAAATTAACAACATCTATATCATTGTGTAACTAACGACTTTCTTGTTAACGAGCATTTTGGTGACATTTTAAAAAACAGTTGCAATACCGAAATTCCACCTTTGAAAAGTTTGAGTGGTATTTGAATTATCATCTAGCGATAAATCGATTATTGATATTTCCTCTCGAAAGACATACAGGCGGGCAGAAAAAGTTTAATATACAGTTGCATCATATTCTCGAATTTGGTACCGTTGGAAAGCTTGTGGTGTCTAGGTTTGAGATCCACTTGTTAGCAATTACGAAATGTGGGCCGAATGTCTCTAAAACGCCCGTTTCCATGGTAACCACAAAAATATGTTTTTAATAAGCAGAAAATTGTTTTATGCATAACTTTACTAATATTGCTCTGATTTTAATGAAATTGGTATCAAATTGAAGGGAATTGAAAGTTCCATTTTCGAAAATAACATTTATGCAAATTAGCTCATTTGCATATTGATCATATTGATTATTACGTCATCACTGCATTATTTTGTGTATTTTTGATAAATGAGTATATTTATTTAAGTACAGTAATGTACAGTTATAACATATTCATGAATTTGGAACCGTGTGAAAGCTTTTAGTATCTAGTTTTGAGATTCACTTGAAACTAATTACAAAAAGTGGCCCAAATGTGTCTAAAATGCCTGTTTCCATAGCAACCACAAAAT